TGAACCAGTTCAGAGAGTAACGCTTCACAGAACAGTTTGCCGTTGGAGGCCAGTTGCCGAACCGTCACCCCCGGTGCCTGTGACTGTGCCGTGGGCCAAAGCCCCTTTTCTAGGCTTGGTGAGAACACAGAACAAAAGAAGTTGGTCTTTCCTCCTGGGAGTTTACAAACCAAGGCAAAAATGAAGTTGGTGCTAATGTAAATGCAGATTTTACCCGGGTCTGCAGCCGTCATGAGCTCCGTCCGCTTCCTGACGTTCAATCTTCCAATCGTGTCACCCGTCACAATCCAGGATTCAGGGTTATCGTGGAAAACAGCGCAGCAAAACGCTTCAACTCGCACAGTGCATACGTAGCCCTGCAAGCGTTCTGCTTTGTCATCAGCGCCCAGGATGTACGTCTTAATCTGCACACCAGCCTGAGGGCCGCAGAAGTGATGGATGGGCATCGAGCCCATGGTACCAGCTACTGTTCTTTCTAAAGCTTCTTTCTCTACTTTACTGTGGCTTCCAATGACTTTACTGCTGTCGTCCACTCCAAAAAATAAATAACCACCCTGAGTGTTTGCAAAGGCAGAGGCATAATTTGGAAGGGTTTTTCTAATGTATTCCAAGATATTCTCTGTAGAGAAGCTCTTAAATTCAGTATGTGTTGTCTCTGTGGAATCCAGGACCTCCCCAACCATCAGTTTGTCTCTCTTTAAAAACCTGGCAGCGGCAACTCGGATGTTGCACTCCTCAGTGTTCAGAGGGGTCTCCTTTGCTCCCCCATCGAAATTCAGCAGAGCTTTCTTAGCGCTTGGCCCATCCTCATCACGGCGCTTGGCACAGCTTTCCTCCTCCCTCAGAAATCCAGCAGCATCGCTTGAAGTCATAGGAACAACCGAAGTGAAAGACCAACGGGACAAAGCAGTGCTCGAGCTACAGATAACGCGGCTTTGTGGATGCACTTTTCTGCTCTGGACCTCCCCGGCTCCACGTTTTAACAAAAAGCAGCAAGTGACTCCGCTGCTGCATCCACGGTGAAGTACTCGCTGGTCTCGGTGCGGTCGATGCGCCCCTGAGGCTCTGCCCTACGTCCAGACCAATGCCGTGCTCCTGGAAGCGGCAATTCTTGTCTTCGCTCTCCACCCTCACTACTCCCGAATTCAGCAACGCACGCGCTGCTGTAGAAAGCTCCTTTCGTCGCCTTTTCTGATTGCCCGAGGTCTTCTTTCTGGATCTCTCTCCTAAAACTCTTTTCTCAGTATCTACCACCACATTGGGATAGTTCGTTTTCAAATTAATCAGCAGCCGCCCTTCTTGTCTGGCCATCCTGATCCTGAAAGGGTAGATTATTAAAAACACTCAACGATTAGACAGGGCAGCGTGACAAAGGGAGCCGCACGCCTTCGGCTTAGGCTCGCACGCTAGATTGAATGACCTGCAGAATGGAAATCGCCATTTGCAACGCACAAGCAAATCGAAGTCGGACTACTGCAAAGACACCCACAGACGTCACGTTAATTAAGCTAATTTATTGGGCTCTTTTGCATATTGGGCTCTAATCGTTACCTTGAAGCTACGTGCAAGACTATCGCGACCAGGCAGCGGCTGCCCGTTCGCAGGAGCGGTTCCTACCGACCCCTCCCCCG